ACATTCGAAGAAAATGATAAATCAGTATAGTATAAAAACCCCCAGGGTGGGTAGCCATATTTCAAAAGCAACTCATAGAATTCTAACAGTACCTACGACTACACAACATGAAACTGGTTACCTCTCTGTCATATAGGAGGTTGCTAGCGGCTTGCTGCATTATACTGAAGAGAGTAAAAGATGCTCTGCATTCAAAATTACCACCACAACAGGCTGGCTGGCTGGCTGGCTGGATTCAGAAAACACAAATCACATGCGCACCAAATTACAACGCTACACACTATCCATCATCATAGAATAGAGTATAGAATGGCAGACAAATCAACTATACCTCAAATTCATACACTCTGAAAAGGATTTCGACACCGTCAACCAACAAGTAATTCGACTGGCAGTTGCTTCAACATTACGCTTTCAGTGTCACAAATCTTTATCAACCTCATTCAACAGCCACATGTCAAGTGATCCACAATGGAAAGCTGAGTGATGTCTTTGAAGTGAAGACAGGAAGGAGTAAGACAAGGCTGTCACCTACTATCACCCATGATCTTCCAGATTGTGTTGTAGTGGACTGGATGATGCAGCCAACAGTGAGGAAGGAGAAGAGGGTGATACACTGTACCGGGGAGAAGATCCCAGAAGATTTGGATTTTGCCAACGATGATGACTTGTATCTTGTGTTGCAGAAATCCGAAGATGTTCAGGAGAAAATTAAGAAGTTGACAGAAGAGTCAGGGCAGGGCAGTGCAGTGCAGAGCAGTGCAGGGCAGGGCAGTGAAGACGGGACTTCGAGTGAATGTAGAGAAGATAGAGGTGGAGGTGATGAATATACCCAACCAACGACAACAACAACAGTATCAACAACAAGGTGCACCAATCACCATGAACGGGAGAAATCTAAATGAAGTTGTCTACTTCACCTACCCACCTACCTAGTCAAGGCAGCATCGTTTCAACTACAGAAGGCACAGGAGATCTACTCCACTGCACTCAGCATAAAGTGTGAACAACATCTGGATTTATAACACAATTCAGTCAAGTCAGTCAGTGCTTCTATGTGATGTTTCACAAACTTGGCGTGTCACGAAAAGTATTTCCAACAAACTACAAACATTCATCAACAGCTAGAGTCTACACTCATTCGATAGTGAAGATTAGATGTCCAGAAAGAACAAGCAATAAGGAACTCTGAGAACGAACCAAACAAGAATGTATCACCCACTAAATATGAAGAAGGAAGTGGGAGTGGAGATGGATTGGGCATACAGTGAGAAGGCCGGTTGGGGACATCACGTGTCAGGTCAAGGCAGGCAGTTGAGTGGAATTCAAATGGGAAACGACGATTTGGGTGTCGGAGTCGATGGTGACATTGAGGAGATCATATGCGGAAGAAATGAAAGCTTGTGGTCAGTCGTGGTGCCAGGTTCAAAAGACTGTAGACAAAAGAGTGAAATAGCGACGTGCTACTGAAGCCCTGTGTTTCGTCAGGAATGCAAGGGAACAATAATGATATTTTCTGAGACTGTGGCACTGGATGACATTGACTCCAATCTCACCGGGGACACTAATTCCCTAGAGGTTGTTGATATCCCATAGCTGGTGAGCACCAACAGCAGCGAAACTCAGTTCATGCAAAGCTTGTTGCCCATTGCTTCCAATCAAGGAATACCAATAGAAAGTGAACAGTGATGGAGACTACATTACAAAATGGTTGATACTATAGTCAGCACTTAGAACATAGAATTCATTACTCTTCAATGAAAAATGCATGCATAAAAGTTATGTTCACAAATAAGCCCACTAGGAAATGATTTCACATGGGACTGCGTACTCAATTTGTGTACATCAGTGACTACACGCCAAACGAAGTATCTCTCGTATTCATCTGGTTTGACAGTTGAGTTACCCTTTTCTTATTACTAAGTTGAGAAGCTTCCGAACACCATTATCAAAAGACTATTGAGATATCATTTCCTACATGTACTTCACCTGAGTAATATTCTGACTTCGATGCAGAATGTTGTAGAGAATTATTGAAGGATATGCGAAAATGAACTGAATGTATGTATACTGACATTACTGTTGTAATTTTCCATACTTTTTCACTTCGTAAAGTATTTATCAAATCTCGCTTACCTACTTATTAGTAGTTCATGTCTATTAGCATAATTTTCCGACAAGCTTCAGGTGTTATTAAGCATCAAACATTAGACGGTAGAGAAAAGATTAGTATGTTTCAATAGGAGATTGAATAATGTGTCAAAAAATTTTGAAGATAAAGAGTAGTAGAAGTGACTTCAGTAAGCTGTTAGTCCATAAGAAGTATAATGCAGAGAAAAAAATCAAGCTAAATCGAACTTTGAAATAATGGAGAATATTTGTAGCTCAGGTGGATGGTCTTGGTTGTATTGTGTTCTCTCAGCTGGGTTGTTTAATCGTGAAGCTTTCATCGTCCTTCTAGACAGTGACATCGTCAGCACTAACTTCAGTATGAAGTGAGCTGTGAATATCTCTCCGTCATTGATTTAGTGGCTTGCTCTGGCGATGTGGTCTGTGGTTGGTTGTTTCTTACGATTGTCGTGTCATTGAATGACTGTATAGACTTTCTTGTTGGCTGTTCATCTGCTTCACCTCTAACCTTCCTGTCGTCTATCATTTTTCTGATTGGTTGGTAGATTGGGTCCATATCTATACATGTGTTGATTGCTGACTGACTGACCTGAATGCCAGGCTTCTAGAATTCTCCGACATTCTTTGTCTCCTCTGTCCAAAATTCCTACATTGTCGAAACTGAATTCATGTCCATAATTATCTACGTGTATTGAAATGAGTGATGAAATGTCGCGGCGTTTAATAGCCGATTGGTGCTCATGTAGACGATGGCAAAGAGGGTGGCCATTTTGTTCAATGTAGTGTTGACTACAGTTATTCCAGTTGATTCTGTAAATGATATTCCATTTGTCTTCTTTGGTTGTTGCATCTTCGGTCTGCATAATAGTGTTTGGAGGGAATTTGTTGGTTTATGAGACACACCAATTCCAAGTGGTCCTAGCAATCTAGTCATGATTTCTGATATATTCTTAATGTATGGTAGGACGATGCATCTGTTGATTTCTGTCGATGACTTTGTAGTTGATGATGCACGGGATAGGTATCTCCTGATAACTTTTCGTGTGTAGCTGTCCTTCTTTAGGGTGGACATCAGGTAATTTTCTTCGTTTCTCCGTGAAGTTGTTGTACTGCAGTGTGTTCTCGCTCTTTTGAATAGAGTCTGCACGCAAGTGATCTTGCGTGTTGTTGGGTTGTTGCTATTGTAGTTGAGGATTTGGTCAGTGTGTGTTGGTTTCCTGTACACTTGGGTTTCCAGCTTTCCGACATTTGTCCTGCTGACTAAAACATCCAGGAATGGTAGTTGGTAGTTTGACTCTTTCTCCATTGTGAATTTGATGTCACTGAAAATGTTGTTAATCAAACTGTGAGTATTTTCTATATCATTTTCAATGATGACAAAAGTGTCGTCTACATAACGAATCCAAATTTTTGGCTTGATCACAGGTAGAATAACGGCTTCCAGTCTCTGCATCACTGCTTCTGCATTTAATCCGGATATCGGAGATCCCATTGCAGTTCCTTTCATCTGTTTGTATATCTTGTCATTGAATTGGAAGTATGTTGTCATACAAAGGTCGATGAGTTCCATCAGACTTGAACATTTGAGTTTTGTGCGTTCTGAAAGGTTTTTGTCTTCATTGTGAAACGTGCTTCAGTTTGTGAAAGTCGTGTGAGTTTATTGGAACTACATTCTACCACAGTGCCCAAGTTTTTCACTTATATTAATGAAACTTATGGTCTTCCTGTTCGAAGGCTAATCAATAAACTCACACGACTTTCACAAACTGAAGCACGTTTCACAAATCATCGTATTTTCAATATTCGTTGCATGAAAAATCAAATTATCCCTAAATACCTTCGCATACGAATCCCAATATATACTGACAAAATCCAAAGGGCAATAGAACATGTCAGCAAACTATGTCTGAAAGAAGAAATTCACAGGATTATTAAGAAATTAAGTACCATTCGGAATAAAATTGAACAACTTAAATGTAAAATTATGAAGATAGTAAACTGCAGAGACTATGGATTTATAATAGAAACATCAGACAAAGCAAGATTAGCTACTCTCAAGAAATCTAGAAGAAATCAAATCAAAAAGTTCAATAAACTAATGCAAGAAAAATATGCTTCGGAAAACAATGAAATTACAAAGGAAACATCATCGAACATCGATAGAACAAAGTGGGTAGTCAATCTCTCCTCGAAAGCCTTAAGCTCAGCTGAGATGAAAGTACTTGAAAAAGGACTAAACTTCAACATAACAGTAGATCATCTAAAACCAGAAGATGTCATACCTAGCATAGAAGTAGCATTAAGCTCGGTGGATGTGACAACTGCTGAACAGGTTAGAGCGCAGTGTGCATTAGCACTTAAAAAACAAAAGAAGACACAGCGAAACTTAACGAAACTGGAAAATTCAGCTTTAAACAATCTACGAAAGGATAATAGTATAGTAATTGCTAAATCTGACAAAGGTAACTCAACAGTAGTTATGGACAAATCGGATTATCTTAAAAAAATGGATGAACATATCCAAACAGGGCCATATGAAGAGATTAAGAAACCTATAGATACTGTCATGAATAAAATTAAGAAATCTACAACAGATCTGATACGCCGACTGAAGCCATCTCTAGGTAAGTCCGAATGGTTTACTTTAATGCCAAAAACTAATAATCCTAGCAGAATTTACGGTACTATTAAGGTTCATAAAGCAGGTTATCCCATTAGGCCGATAGTTGACTTCCGAAACACACCAACATATGAGATATCAAAGTATTTAGCATCAGTATTACGTCCTGTTAGAGACCGTTCCAACTCTAGACTAGTAAATTCTTACGAGTTGAAACAAAAACTTAATGACCTGCACATAGAAGAGGATGAAAAAATGGTTAGTTTTGACGTAACAAGTCTTTATACTAAAATACCAATCAATATGGCACTGGAGGCAGTCAGAAATCAACTAGATACTGACTCACAACTTACTCAAAGAACCAAGGCATCGGTTGGTGAAATCATGTTAGGAGTGCAGTTATGCTTAACCTCGACAGTCTTCAAGTTTCAGGGAAAGATATACAGACAAACAGAAGGAGTAGCAATGGGATCACCAATATCCCCTATAGTAGCAGATATATTTATGGATAGTTGGGAAGATATGGCTTTACGAACATATAATCCGACACCTAAGATATGGTGGCGATATGTAGATGACACATTTACAGTGTTGAAATCGGAACATATCGACAGTTTCTTGACACACATAAACTCAGTAGTTAACGCAATCCAATTCACTTACGAAGTAGAAAATGAACAAGGAGAATTACCTATGTTGGATTGCAGAATAAAACGAAGGATAGATGGTGGTTTAGATACTACCGTCTACAGAAAACCAACACATTCTAACAGGTATCTAGACTTCAAGTCATCTCATCCAGTGTCAGTTAAAGCGGGTTTAGTCAAATGTCTAAATAACAGAGCTGAGAAACTCACTAGTCATTGTAAGGACTTAAATAAGGAATTGAAACACATAAAAGAAGCGTTAATAACTAATAATTATCCCCATCATTTTATTAAGAAATTCACACGGACGCATAAGAAGCAAAATAATAACACTAATACAAATACAAATAATAGTGACAACATAAGTAGAAAGGAAATCAGCACCTCTATTGTGATACCATACAAGGAAGGAACATCAGAAACCATACGTAGGATTCTCAACAAGGTTGGAATTAGGGTGGCATTTAAACCAACAAACTCACTTAGAGGTAAGCTTTGTCGGCTAAAAGATCCGATAGAACCAATTAAGCAAAATAATATAATCTACCAAATTCCATGTAATGACTGTGAAGTCAAATACATAGGTCAAACTAGCCGGTCGGGGTCAGTTAGATTAACAGAACATAGGAATTTAGCTAAACATAGAACGACAGACCCCAATAAGATCAATAACCTAGAAAAACACTCAGCCATTGCATTACATTCATTAACACACAACCACACAATAGGATGGGACAAAACCACTGTACTTAAGTCTAATATAGCTAGGTGGAGAGAGAGATTAATTACTGAATCTTTGTTCATCGAATCCACACCCAACACATGTAATAGGAATGACGCAACACCTATACCAGAGATATGGAAAACTTTACTACCAATCAAAAAACAAAAAAACAAAGAGAGATCAGGTGACAGGACTATAAAATCAGATGTCGAAAGAAGTGTGATTACATTGATATGATTATGAGCAATAATTTATGCTCGAAACGTAATCAAGTAAATAATACTGTATCACTGTGCGCTTTATATCAAATAAACAAATCTAATATGGAACTACATTCTACCACAGTGCCCAAGTTTTTCACTTATACAAGAGCCTATCACCCAACAAATATGGAGAAGGAAGTGGGAGTGGAGATGGATTGGGCATACAGTGAGAAGGCCGGTTGGGGACATCACGTGTCAGGTCAAGGCAGGCAGTTGAGTGGAATTCAAATGGGAAACGACGATTTGGGCGTGGGAGGTGAGGTTTACGTGGAGGAGGTCATATGCGGAAGAAATGAAAGCTTGTGGTCAGTCGTGGTGCCAGGTTCAAAATACTGCAGAGGACAGAGCGAAATGGAGGCGTGCTTCTGAAGCTCTATGTTTTACTAGGATCCCAAGGGAAAAATAATAATAATGATTCTGTAGAATAGGATTGTTGCCAACCCTATTCTGTTCATCAAATAAATTTTGATAATTTTTTCAACTCTCTTATTGCAAACAAAGTATTCATGTACCACGCCATAATACCTATGCATTAGTTGATTTATTTTATGTGAGGTGTAGTTCACATTTTTCATGAAAAAAACAACTGAACTCAATGTAAGAGTTACACATACAATTATTGAAATCAAAAGATGATACCTATCTACAAATACAGTACCATAAAGCTTTGATCATTGGTCAACAACAACAAGCTAGCTGCATTGACCCATCTATATTTGCGTTTTTCATTTTATCCCTTTAGAATAAGTTATGTCAGTCGTACTCATTGTCCACTGTTTAAGCACATCATTGATGATATGCCAGCCTGGTTTTACTAAACTGCTGTTGTCTAAGACTGTTAACATTCTTTATGATTACGCAAGTTTTAGAAACCTCTCATTTCCTATTGCCCCCAACTTTTCTGAGGGAACTATTATTGCTGTATACCAAAATAGTCCACTTCATATTTAAGGTTGGACACTTTCAGCAAGTTGACGGCGTAGCTATGAGTAGTCCATTAGGACCACTACTAGCTGATATTTATATGTTATATATCGAAAATCTGGCTAGTAATCTCATCGCTAAAGTTCCTGTTTACAAGAGATATGATGATGACATCATAATGATTTGTAAGAGGCATAAAGATGTGGCTTGTCAACTAAATAGACTTAACGCCGTACAAACATACATCAGCCTGACTTGTGAGAAAGAGAATAATTATCATCTACCATTCCTAGATGAGAAGATGGTTCAGTAAGACGGTCAGTTTACAGAAAGCCTACATGAACAGGACAATACTTGAGTTTTCACACTTTTTATCCAATCCATTTCAAGCGAGGTCTAGTAAAATGCGTTTTTATAGGATCTATCGTATCAGTACACCAGATGCGATGGATGAAGACATCAAATTACTGAGCAAAGCACTTATGGAAAATGGATATCCGATGGAGTTTATAAATCGTTGTAGAGGTTAGATTGCACAAAAGCCAACTCTATATACGGTTCCTAAGATAGGCGTCTATATCACTCTAACATACAGAAAGGAGTTAAATAGCAGAATCTTGAGACGTAGGCTGACATCAGCCATTAGGAAAACATATTACGCAGCTAATCTTATTATTTTCCAAGAAACAGAACATAGGCTTCACCACAAACCTAATCAATGCATCAGTGGTTACATCACATCCCATAGTGTGTGTGGTCACACATACATAAGGAAGAGTAATCGAGTCATGAAGTTGAGGGTGGGAGAACATATGACTAAATGGCTTCAAAAACAAATGGAATGTGAAACTGTGATAAACGCTGGTGGGAGACGACCGTCTTCATCTACAGCTAAACATATCCTAGTAACAGGTCACAAAGTTAATGTTCAAACAGCTTTCAAAGTTTACACAAAGAAACAGTCAGGGAAGTATACTAAGATTTGTAGAAACGATAGCCGTAAACAAATTGAAACCACCTTTGTGTATGCAAAAACAATTTATATATATATATATATATATATATATATATATATATATATATATGACTTTGAAAAAACGTACTAGTGAAGAACCGGCACCCAGAAAGCCTTATCAACAAGCACGCAAAATGGGTAGGAAGCAGAACGACATCCCCAATAGCGCAAAAGAAACCAGCCTACATCACCCTGCCATTCAAAGGTGACAAAATGCTAGAAGCAGTTAGACGCAGGCTGGAGAAGTCTATCAGAAAGGTTTATTACGCTGCCAAACTCGTTCTCCTCAGCACCAACAAAAGGGTACCGCAACAATCAGAGAAAGACAGGGCTCTGATCTTTGATTCATCTACATGCATATATCAGTTCGTACATATATGTGAAAGCCAATACACTGGTCGTATGGAAAGGTGTCTGTCTACCCAAATGATTGAAGTATGCCGAGAAGAAGACCCCGAGGAGCTTGATAACGATTATGGGCATGGTAATGATACCAGTAAATCCTTTAGGATAATCAGTAGATAGCAAAATAAGAAGTTACTTGGAAATTCAGAACCCTGCACGATTCTGGTTGTCAAATCAAACTTCTGCATTCAGAAAGAAATGTTGGTTAGCTTGAATCTGCCGTGGTAGGAATTACAACATCATCTAGTCATATTCAATCTTCCTGACTTGCTCTTCACTCTTAATTATCACCCACTTGATATTTTGTTTTCCTTCCTTGATTTATTTCTCCTGATTAATCTTATTCTGATTACTATTGTTATCATTATCAATCATCTCAATATACACATGATTTTCTTATCATATCATCGGTGCTCAATCTATTCACTTCTCACCCCTGTGTCAACATTATTGTTGTTAGTATAATTATTTTCCCACCTGAAATCCTCTATTATCCAAACTCATGGTTAATCATGTAACCTATCCCCATAGTTCAACAAGTCCATGTGTGATCAGATTGTTGGAAATGTATAGCGCTAATACATAGCATGTTTCAGATAATCTTTGTCTTCTCATTACGCTGTTTAAATTTATCAAAGGGACTAGTTGCTTTAAGTATCCTCATTCAATTTTGAACATGAAATTCTCACCTTTGCCTTTCCACTTGACCTATAAAACCTGTTTATTTCTACGATGTTACACCGAAATCGATGGCTTACTCCATGTTCTACATATCAATGTGTTCTTTTTAATTGATTAACGGTAATAATAATGGGCATACGTTGGACAGGTGAAAAGACCCTAGAAGATTTACATTTCGCCGATGATCATTTACGTCTAATGTCTTGTACCACAAACTCGAAGATCTGAGGGCAAAAACTAACAAGTTGGAACAAGAGGCAAGGCAGGGCAGTAAAGGAAGACGGGACTTCCTTCAAGTGAATATAGAGAAGACATAGGTAGATGTGATGCAGATGCCCAACTAAAAACAACAACAAACACCAATCACCATCAACGGCGGAAAGTTAAAGGGGGCTGTCTCTTTCACCTGCCTACCTACCCACCTAGGCAGTATCGTTTCAACTGCAGGCTGCGGTGCAGATGAGGATGTCAAAGTTAGGCTCGCAAAGATAGTAAGACAGGCCTTCATTAATCTGAAACCAGTGTGGAGATCTACCTGCACTGCATTGCACTCCAGTCAGCATAAACAGCGAACAAGATCCGGATTTTCAACACAAATTCGGTCAAGTCAGTGAGTGCTTCTATGTGATGGTTGAGAGACTTGACGCGTAAGGCGAAAAGTACTTTCAACAAAATGTAGACATATATCATCAGCAGCTGCCGCCTACGCTCATTCGATACCAACACTGAAGGTCGATGAGATGGATGGTCGGAATAATAAGAATAAGCAAGAAAGAACTCTGACTGACTGACTGGCTGGCAACGAACCAAGAACCCATCGCCCAAAAAATATGCGGAAGAAGAATGTACAGATGAATTGGATTGAATATAGTCTGAGAATACGGTTAAGGGAGATCACGCGTCAGGCCAGGTCAGGCCGTCGAGTGGAACCAAAATGGGAAGGGACCAGTTGGGCGTCCGAGACGAGGGTGACATAGAAAAGACGGTATGAGGAAGAAATGAAAGCTTATGAGCAGTCGTCGAGGCAGGTTGGGGAGACTGTAGAGATGACAGTGAAATGGCGACATGCTATTGAAGCCGTATGATCAAGTACGTAAAGTATCCAGGT